CATTCCCCAAGTGAGGAGGCCACCAGGGCAGCTCGTCATCGTCTCTGCAACTGCCTGAAGAGCATGCTCGCTCCTAGAGCAGAACCAGGCCAAAATGTAATGGAGAAATGTGTAACAACGTTAGTTGTTTTAATTTGTTATTTTTCTAAGTCAATGTGTGGCCAGTAGGGATCTGTTTCTGAGTCTGAGACCATTAGCTTAGAGCACTGAGAGGTGAAGAGATAGGTGGAGCAATGGTTAGAGCACCAGGCCTGGAGTCAAGAAGACCTGAGTTCAAATCCAACCTCAGGCACTTATCAAGCTGTGTGACCCTGGGAAGTCACTGGAGCTCTGCCTCAGTTTCCTCAACTATAAAATGGAGATAATAGCACCTACTTTCCAAGGTGCGTGAAGATTAAATGAGATGTTTTTGGTGCCTGGCACATAATGGGTATGTAATCGATACTTGTTCCCTCACCCAGGAGTGCACAGCTGATAGGCTTGAGGTTGTTATGGTTCTAAGAGTCCAACTTTCCGTGATGCCACACAACTTCTGAGTCATAAGATGAAATCAAAGCTATTCCCTGCTGACTTTATTCCAGAGACCAAAAAGGAACAATCTTTGATATAGACTATATTTGGTAATTTCACACATTCTGTTTTAAACACTTCTAGCTAGTTTAAATTTTCAAAACCACATTTCTTTGACTTGGCTGTCCCTCACACTAACATAGAGTCCATGAATCATATCGATGCCAAATTTTTTTTTCCACTTAATAGTATTTTTTCAATTACACATGTAGGTGGTTTTCAACATTCACTTTTATAAGATTTTGAGTTCTAAATTTCCACCCCACCAAGACAGCAAGTAATTTGGTATAGGTTATATGACGTATATATATACATATATATACACAATCATATTAAACATTTCCATATTAGTCATGTTGTGAAAGAAGATGAATCAGAACAAAAGGAAAAAAACATGAGAAAGAAAAAGCAAAGAATAGTTTACTTGTATCTGCATTCAGACTCCATAGCTCTTTGGATATGGATAGGATTTTCCATCATAAATCTTTTGAAATTGTCTTAGATGATGATGTATTGCTGAGAAGTCTATCAAAGTTGGTCATTGCTCAATGTTTCTGTTACTGTGTACAACATTCTCCTGGTTCTGCTCATTTCACTCAGCATCAGTCCATACAAGTCTTTCCCGGTTTTTCTGAAGTCTGCCTGCTCATCGTTTCCTATAGCACAACAGTATTCCATCACAATCATCTGCCACGACTTGTTCAGCCATTCCCCAATTGATTGGCATCCCATCCCCTCAATTTCCAATTCTTTGCAACCACAGAAAGAGCTGCTATAAATATTTTTGTACATGTGGGTCCTTTTCCCATTTTTATGATCTCTTTGGCATACAGACCTAGCAGTGGTATTGCTGGGTCAAAGAGTATGCACAGTTTTATTGCCCTTTGGGCATAGTTCCCAATTACTCTCCAGAATGGCTGGATCAGTTCACAACTCCACATTAGTGTTCCAATTTCCCCACATCTTCAACATTTATCATTTTCCTTTTCTGTCGTATTAGCCAATCTGATATGTAGGAGGTGGTACCTCAGTTATTTTAATTTGCATTTCTCTAATCAGTAATTATTTAGAGCATGTTTTCATATGACTATAGAGAGCTTTGATGTCTGCATCTGAAAACTGCCTGTTTATATCCTTTGACCGCTTATCAATTGGAGATGCTAAATTCTTAATGTTAAGTGACCGATATATATACTGAGTGTGGAATTAGGAACGGTTGTTTTCCCCTCCTAGCCCTACAAACATAGGGAGTGGGTACACTGGGTAAAATAAAACTCCATTTCAGTCACCGTGGGCCCTGTGAAGACAAGGAGCACTTCTCTGTGGGGGATTTGGGTGTTAAATAGCTACTATTTGTTGCAAAAGGGCCCCAAACTGGGGCCCACCCAGGCCTGCTTTAAAATGGGGTGGCAGAGGAACAGCCTGACTCTTCTAAGCATTATGGTGTCCATCGGTCACAGTCCAGTCCATTTTTGGCCCTTAGCCATAGTGGCTGTCAGGATTCTATGACCAGAGGGGAGGCTTCCCTCCCTCAAAGGCAGTAGAATTCCTTTGAAAACAATCTTGCTTTTCAGGTCACATTCAGTGACAGAGATCCCAGCATTTAAAGATACAAGACTTCTATGTTCCTAATCTCTACCTAGAAAGAGACAGACCAGCACTAAGTCATTTGTTTCCATGGCCATAGAAAGCACAGGGGGTCCTCCCTGTTTTGCAGGTCCCAAGGGGAGTTGGGCCCACTTGCTCCTCAAAGGGGAGGGACCTGTATAGTCGCCTGATCGGCAAAGTTCTAAAAGTCTCCAGTGGGCCTGACTTTGGACTTCTTTGTCTGCCATGGGGGAAAGGAGGGTTAATAAGGCTGGTCACTTTTGTGGGCATCCTTCTGTGATCACACATTCACTGTGGCAACAGTAGTCAGTTTGGGAAAATGCTGCAGTGGGGAACCCTAGGTTTCGACAGGTCTATTTCCCTGTGAATGTTTTTATGAGGCTTTGTATCCATCCCTTGTCCTAGCTAGCCCCTGGAAGGGTGCATGGGTGTATGGAACTTTATCACTAACTGAAGAATTGATGGGATTCCAGCTTGGGCACATTCATCTTTGCTTAGATGTGCCATCCCAGGGAAGATTTTGTTTTGGGACAAATCCCACACGTAAACCAAGCAAAATCAAAAGTGAATGGAGCAAAATTATTTGAGAAGACACTCCCAACTCACCCTGCTTTGTGGAGGTGGGAAGTCTGCAGGTGCTACACGTGGCACTTCAGACATTTTCAATGCATCTATCCGTTGTGCTGATTTCTTTTTCCTCTTTAAAAAAATGCTATGTTTACCCAGCAAAAATGAGCATGCTCTTTCAGGGGAGGAGATGGATATTCAATGACATAGGGAACTTCCAAACCTTCCTCATAAAAAGACCAGAGCTCAACAGAAAATTTGATCTTCAAATAGAAGACTCAAGAGAGACATAAAAAGGTAAACGGGACAGAAAGAAACAACATGTTATTAATAAGGGTAAAGTGTTTACATCCCTACAAGAGAAGATGACACTTGTAACCCTTGAACACTGTATTGTTATTACACCATGTTAAAGGGGTATACATAAAGGGGGTGGGTATAAGTTGACTTTGATGTAATGATAAAAAAAAATCTAATCAAGTGGGTTAAATGGATCCAAGTAAGTGCATTAATCTGATCTAAGAAAATGTACTGAGAGAAAAGGAAAGGAGGAGGCAGACAAGGGTAAATTACATTACAGAAAAAGACACAAAAACCTATTACGGCAGAGGGAAAGAAGGGAGGGAGATGAGCATCGTTTGAACCTTACTGTCATCAGATTTGGCTCAAGAAGGGAATAACATAATCAGTTAGGTACTAATATTGATAGATTTAACCCTTTCTCAGCAATATCAAGGATCTAAGATATCTCCAAAGGTCTCATGATGGAAACTGCTATCCACATTCAAAGAAAGAACTATGGAGTTTCAATGCAGATCAAAGCATACTATTTGCTATTTTTTTCTTCTGTTGTGTTTTGTTTCCTCTTTCTGGTGGTTTCTCCTATTGGTTCTAATTCTTACTTACAACATCACTAATGTGAAAATATGTTTAATAGGAATGTATATGTATAGCCTATATCAGGTTGTGCACCATTTTGAGGAGGGAGGGGAAGAAAAATTTTAAACTCAAAAGCTGATGGAAGTGATTGTTGATAATTCAAAATAAATTAATTTTTAAAAAATGCTATGTTATATGAGATGCCTCTCTGGGAGGTGAGGGGGAAGGATACTGGAGATAACTATGATGATGTAAGAAATAGACATAAATAAAAACTTTGCTTTAAAAAAAGGAAATGGATGCATGCAAGTCACAAAAAGACCCATAAGCATTCCCAAGCCTTTGAAGGGGTATGCAGCAGGACTGGGGAGCACTCGTTGTGGGGATGAGGCCTGTGAGGGCCAAGGCTTTGGAATGGCACTTTTTTTCTCTGGTGATCTTGAAGATCTCACGCCAGTCTCACCAAAACCTAGAACATCATCTCCTTCTATAGCTCCAGCATTGGGCTAGGTTGAATGCCTACCTCCAACAGCCAAGTTCTCCTGACCAGGTGTTAGGCTGCTGATTTGCTTATGACCCAGAGTGACACGGCAGCTAGGTGGGCACAGTAAATAGAGCACCAAGCTTGGACACTTACTAGCTATATGACCCTGGGCAAGTCACTTCACCTTGTTTGCCTCGGTTTCCTCATCTATAAAATGAGCTGGAAAAGGAAATGGCAAACTACTCCAGTCCCTTTGCCAAGAAAACCCCAAACAGGGCCACAAAGAGTATGAAGTGACTGACCAAGAAGAAGATAATGTAGAAGAAAAATGTTCCCATCTTCCAAGACGAGACTCTTTCCCCCCATCCCAAGTTTACTGCTAGGTCTGGGTCTGGGTTCTAGTGGAAGCCTTCATAATGACTTTGCATGTATATGGCAAAAGCTCTTTCCTCCTCAACATCTATCGTTTTTATCCCTGCTAAAATCCTTTGGTGCAGGCGGAGCAAATGCTTATTATAAAAAGGGCCAACTTGCTGAGGGCATGCACCAGTGGTGGTCAAGGGAAGAACTGGGGTGAGACCTGGGGCCAGATGTCTGCCCACCAAAATTCCCCATTACATAGTTTCCCCATAATATGAAAAGGGGCTCCCCAGAGCTGCACCAAGCCCCACGAACCACTGTGGCAGAGGGAGGTTGGCCCCAAACCAAACCTGGGCCGAGGATGGCCACAGAGCTTAATTTTTCAAGTCTCTGGGCCCCGGGGTACCAGCTCTTCTCAGAACCCTTACAGGCCACAGTAGATCTATGTTTTGTTCCTCCCCCACCCCATAACACTATTAATCCACACTGAGGAGGCCTTTTGAAGCGATTTATTAGTTAGTTCCTAGCTAGGTTCCTACGGTCTGGTCTCAAAGGAATTCAGTCCTCCTCCTCCGTATCTTCGATACTAAGTTGTGGCTTTCCCCCCTCTGGCCAAGGAGGCCTGTTCTTCAGCTCTTGCACTTTGGACACGTAGATCTTCATGGCGTCCAACTTGGACATCCCTTTGCGGCAATTCCAAGCTTCCCACTTGGCTTTGGCTTTGAAGTCGGTGATCTCTGGGCAGGGGATATTGATGTCCCCGACGGTGGCCTGCTTGTAGTAGCTGTACACCACCAGCTTCTCCTCGTCAGTTATGTGGCCTGTCAGCTGCTTGACTTCTGCACATGCCATCTCAAACTCTATCTGGGCCATGGGTTGCCGCTGGTCTTACAGGTGAAGAACCCTCTTTCTTTAGCTCTAGGGGAGGGGAAACTTGGTCTTCAGGAGCTAGAAGGGGAGAGATTTCAAGAGAACCATGAGTCAAGGGCCACTTAGGGCTGAAGGGGGCCTGTATGGTACGGGATGTTATGCAGTACACTCATTCTGCCAGGACTGGAGAGCATGAAGAAGGCCAGCAGGGAGGGGCAGTGGGTTCTATGTGGGGCCTGGGGTTAGGGGAGTGAAAATCAGAGGTGTTTGTGGGGAGGGTGGTCTCTACTGTGGTGGGCAGTTATTCAGGGTTGTATGGTATGGCAGGAGGAGGGCTTGGGAGTCAGTGTGCCTGAAGTCGATGATGCATGTGAAAGGTTTGGTCCGAGAAAGCTCTTGGCCTGCAAAGGGCCCTTTGTGACCCCCAAGAAGGACAAGTCCCTACAGGACACGAGGATGTCTGTGTGGTTGGGGGGCACGTGTTAATAGTGTTTTAGGGAAAATGCTTAGTGTATGTTGGGGGGTTGTTAGTATGTACAGATCTGCTCAGTATGGGGGGTGGGCGTCTTGGTGTGAGGTCTGGAGGGAGGTTCAGGGACCCAGTGGATGAATGAATGGTTATTTAATGTGAAGAAAAAGTTTAGCATTCGAAAAGAGTGTTTGGACTGAGTGGAAAAACTGTGTGTGCGAGGGCTGGGGTTGTAGAGGGTGCAACTAAATGCAGGCTTGGGAGCAGGATGACGAGTTTCTGATCCCGAGGACTCCTGTTTGTTATTTCCTTTTTTCATGCCATTTTCAAGGCTAGAATGGCTCCCCTTCACCCCTTCTTTATTATTGAGGTTCTTGTGACGCAGTGGATAGCGCACAGGATCGCAGACGGGAAGACCTAAGTTCAAATGCAGCCTCAGAATATTTACTAGCTGTGTGACCTTGGGAAAGTCACATAACCTCTGTTTGCCTCAGCTTCCTCAGTTGTAAAATGAGGATATCAAAAGCGCCCCCTACCTCCCAGGGTTGTTGTGAGGCTCACGAGAGATGATATTGTCAAGTGCTTAGTACAGTGTGCCTGGCACATAATTCCTATCTATAAATGTTAGCTGTTATTATTATTAGTTTATTAGTATTTATGGAAGGCCCAGTGAGGAAGCACCCTCTACAAGTCTGTGCCTTTCTGCAAGCTTAGTTTTAGAGAGACTTGCTGAGGCTGCTCAGGGGGCTTGGGTTCAAGGAGCCAGGCTCACCCAGACAGGACAAAGCAGAGGGAACCTCAAGTCAGGTTTTCCTGGCTCCTCTCTCATCACTCCCCCGGTCCACCTCTCCTTAAGTTCATGTGCCATTTCTTCCAGGAAGCCTTCCTTCATCCTCCTCCCCAGGCAATCAAGACCTTCCCCCCAGCTCCAGGCTCTCCTCCCAGGCCTTATCCCAGATCACACTTCAGGTTCTACTTTTTATCTAATGTTTTCTGCATTGTAGTTATATGCGAATATTTGTATATTGTCCTGGCATTAATGAGGCTTTCAGCTGTCCCTCAGATCTATCACACCACTCTACACATAGTGGCCCTCAATCAAGGCGATTGAATTCATCTGAAGAGATTAAAAGTGAAGACACTCTCTGTGTGGTTAGGCCTGGGAAACACCACCACAGAGTGCAGTGCGTGTGAGGGGAGTAGCCAAGGTAAAGGGGAGTATCAATGCCCTCTCAGACTCAGTTTCCTCATCTGTAAAATCAGGATCATAATATTAATGATTATCACTTGGACTACTTTAATCCATGGAACTTTTCCTTCTGCACAAATAAAGCACTTTGTGCACCTTTAAAAGCACCATAAAGTGAACATTTGGTGCTTTCTGTGTGCAAAGGACTTTGCCCAGGCACCAGAGAAAAGAACAAAAATGACCTGAGACAATCTAACCTCAGAGATGTAGTCTAGAAGGGGGATAAAAGGGTAGTGCTGGGAGCTGAGGGCCTCGAACACCAGGCAGTGGAACCTGGGCTCCATGTGACAGGCCTAAGCAGCTTGACATGACCAGGTTCATGAGGAAGGAGAGTACTGGGGCAGTGGCATGGCTGAGGCAGGAAGGATGTGGAATTAGAAGTGGGAAGACCCATCAGAAGAGGGCTGCCACATCTAGGTCATCCTGCTGAAGCTACACACATATTTGGGATTTGAGGAATGACAGCCTGTACTGGTCTTTACACAGGAATACCCCAAATCCACTTGACTTACAAGAGTGGTTGTACCGAGACCAAAGAGAATGGGGATAGGAGGAGTATGGCAAAGGGGAAAGGGAAAGGGAAAGGGAAAGGGGGAGGCAAAAATAATGCCAAAGTTACCAACCATGGCAAAAGAGCTCAGCTTAAGAAAGCCATCAGAAGGAAGAGTAAGTCCAGAGGGGAACAGAGAACCAAGCTTAGGTTTGAACAAATGAGTTTGAGGTGCTTGTGGGACATTGAAGTGATGTCCTGGAAGGATCTATGGGGAGGTGCTGTATGTACATGTCTGGGGGGGGGGGTCCTTCTGTATACTTGTCAATGAGGAGGCTCTATATGTATCTATAGGAGGGGTTGTCTGGGGGGCACTCTTTGCCTGTGTCTATGGAAGGGGTGTCTATGGGGAAGACACTTCTTTGTATATGTCTATGGAAGGGGTGTCTGGGGGGCACTCTGTGTCTATGTGGGAGGGGTGTGTAGGGGGCACTCTGTATGTGTCTATTTGCAGTGTGTCTGGACCGAGGTCAGCCCCGGGGCAGGGGCAGGGCGGGTGAGCACAAGCGCAAGCAGGAGCCGCCCGTTAGCCACTACTTGCCCGAAGACTCCTCGGTTAATGGTCCGGTCCGGTAGGGGGCGCTGTCGGGGCGGGGAGGGGGTATGGGAGGGGAGGGGAGGGGGGAGGGAGAGGAAGGGCGAGGGAAGCCCCTCTAGGCCGAAGTGGGTCTCGTTGGTCGGAATGCGCGGGTAGCCGACCAGGAGGGAAAGGGGAGGAGGGCTGGAGGAGCGGACGCGGGCGCAGCCGAGGAGGCCAGAGGCGGAGTGGGGACTGCGGGCTGGGCGGCCGCGCGCGGGGCTTAGCCGCGCTGCCGTTTGTGCGCTGGCGCCCGCGCCACAATCGTCGGGAGCGGGCCTCACGGGCGCGGCGCGAGCCCGCGAGGGAGGCGGGGAGCGGGCAGCCCCGCAGGGCAGCGCCGCCGCCGGGGACCGGAGCCGCCGCAGCCGCCGCCATCGCCATCGCCATGGACCTAGGTGAGCGAGCTGGGCCGGGCCGGGCTGGGCCGTGCTGGGGTGGGGGGGCGGGGGGGCCCACGCTGGGCGCCTGCGCGGCCGCGCGCCTCCCCCCACCCCAGCCCCGGCTTCCGCGCTGGGCGCGGGCACGGCCGGGCATGCGTGCTGAGCCCTCGGCGCTCCCGCCTCAACCCCCGCGTCTCCAGCTGCGCGGAGAGGAACCCAGCGGGAGCTACGCGCCCGGAGGCGGGCTGGGGGGAGGCCGGGGCAGGAGGGGCCCCCGCGGGAAGAGGATGGGGGCCCACCGCGAGGAGGAAGGGACCCCACCACGTGCAGGGCTCCCGGCGCGGGCGCCTGAGACAGGGACGGGTCTCGGGCCGGAATCGCACCCCTCCCCCCTCGTAACAGACGAGAAAACCCACCCCCACCCCCGAAAGGAAACACGCAGGGGCGACACGGAGACCCCCGGCCTCCCGGAGGGGGTGCATCCAGACCCCTGGCAATGGAGGGGCCCTTGCCGCTTCCCCGTGCGACCTACCCCCCCCACGAAGCCTCTGCCGCCGTCCCCACTTGGGGCCCTGGAGCTCTTTACGGCGCTTGCTCGCAGCCCCTCGTGCTGCCCTAGGGCGCTGTGGGCCCCGCTTCACCTGGGGGCCCTGGGGAGCACGCGAGAGCATCACCCCCCCACCCCCCCCTCCTGGAGGCCTCCACCCACCCCACATCACCCCACGTGAAAGTGAGACCCAGGGAGACCCTGAGGCCGCTCTGTGCCCGGGCTCCAGCCCTTCCTAATGAGCCCCAGTGATGGGTCAGACGTCGGAATGGGGAGGGAGGAAAGGAGGACAGAAAGGGTTCTCTCTTCCACCCGAAGTCTGAGTTGATAACATCTAAATGCAAAGATCAGAGAGAGGTCAGGGCTGGAAACAGATTGGAAATTGTTCACGTGGGGTGATAGTTGAAACTATAAAGGGTGAGTTCTCCGTGGGAAGGCATAGAGGAGAGTGGTGAAGAGTGAACTTTGAGGACTACCTACGGTTAGGGGGCGGGAGAAGGTAGAAGAGAAGGCAGAGAGAGAGAAGGAATGAGAATCATCAGAATTAGGCATAGCATTATGGAAGGCAAAGGAAGTCAGGAGGTTAGCATGCTGCAGAGGGATCCAGCCAAGAAAATGAGGGACACACACGCACACACGCGTGCGCTGTAGTGTCTGGCCTTCAATTCCATAAAATCAGAGGGTCAGACCGGATGGCCCCTGAGGTCCTTTCCAGTTTCAACTGTGACCCTCAGATGGGTTGATTTGGAGGCCAGGTCCATTTTCAGTAGAAAAATAAAGACGGAAGGGAATCTGAAAAGTCTAGGGAGGCAAGTGGGGTGTTAGAATTCCATGAAGCCCTGGAGTGTCCAGCAGGCCACATCCGGGTCAAGTTTGGCCTTGAAGGTAAGGAGAAACCCCAGCACCCTCTTGTAGAACCAGTCAGTCAAGAAAGATCTATTTAAAAGTGCCTACTATGTGCCAGGCTCTCTGCTAGGCATTAGATATACAGACACAGCGAATGAAACAATCCCTGCTCAAGTTCTAATCAGGCGAACACCAACGGCATAGATGAATGTATGCAAAATAAATACAAATAAGATATGGGAGGGTCATCACCATGGAAAGGCACTGCTGGAGCTGGTCTTGAAGGAGGTGAGGGACTCCAGGGTGGTGGGGGCCGCACCAAAGAGGCAGAGACGGGGAGCCCTCAGGTTCACTGAGGGAGGGCAAGACCCAAACTCAGCCACGTCTCTGCTGGTGGTGTGCCTCAAAGAAACCATCTGGGGGAAGCTTTCCCTTATCCAAGAAATAACCCCCACAAGAAAAGGTTTTGGCATCCACACGTAATTTCACGCGGGTTCTCGAAAAAGGAGTCTCCGCCATTTTCTGTCTGTGAAGAAGATGCAGGAATAGCTTCAGGCATGTTTTTGGTTTCGTACTGACGCCTCAGCTCTGCCAGGGTATCCTGGACAGGCCTGGAGTTAGCTAAGCGAGCTTTCCTTGATAGAAAAGAGATTCTGGAGGGTTGAGTGGTTCCTTGAAATCCATGAGCCTCTCTGAAACCTTGTTAGGGATATATAGGAAAGCACAAATAAATGGTGGCTCCAGCTGGCCCTGTTAGCCAGGTTTCTGTAATGTTTCCAGGTGGCAGTGGGGCAGAGCCACCTGAAGTCAGCAGGAGGTGCCAATTCAGTGCATGCGAGAATGCTCCTTGGCATGTGAAGCCCATTTTAGATGGCCATTTCCTTAAGAAGACAGGGTGTGTTTCCAGGAAACCTTTTGTTTATTGTCCTGAAAGATTTGTCTCTGCTCATCCTGTATGTTTACCTTTTGCACAGGACCCTTGAGTATCTGTGAAGAAACAACCATTCTTCATGGGGGATTCCTGCTGGCCGAGCAGCTGTTCAGCCCGAAGGCTCTGGCAGAACTCAAGAAGTCTGACTGGGAGCAAGTTGGACAGCCCATCATTGAAGCCTTGCGAGAGATCTCCTCTGCAATCGCCCAGTCCCACCCCCAGGCCTGGACCAAGAAAGCTTTGATCATCATCTGGGCCAAGGTCCTCCAGCCCTGCCCCGTCACACCTTCAGACACAGATGCTCAGTGGCAAGAAGACATCTTCTTTTCAGTGGGAAACATGATCCCCACCATCAACCACACCATCCTTTTTGAGTTGCTCAAGTCCCTCGAGGCGTCGGGGCTGTTCATCCAGCTCTTGATGGCCCTGCCTTCCAACATCTGCCGCTCAGAACTGGAACGTTTTGTGGAGCACGTGGCCAGTGACACGTCCTTAGAAGACGTAACCTTCTTTTTGGATGTCTGGTGGGAAATGATGAAGCACAAAGTGGACCCGAAGGACCCCCTGCTCACCCAGTTTCGGACAATGGCACACAAGTACCTCTCATCTTCAGATGAATTCTCCCATCCACCCAAGAGGTTCAAGGCCGACCCAGATGCCTGCCCGATCATGTCTCTGTTGGAGGTGCTGCTGGACGGCCTCAAGCAGATCCAGAACAACATCACGGCCCCCAGCCTGAAGTGCTGTGCCGTGGCTAACCTGGCCGACATGCTAACCGTCTTTGCCTTGGTGGAGGAAGACCCACGCGAGCTGTCGATCACTGTGTACTTGGACAAGCTCGCAACTCTCATCTCCCTGTGGAATTCTGACACCCAGAACCCTTACCACCAGCAGGGCCTGGCCGAGAAGGTGAAGGAGGCCGAGCGGGACGTGAGCCTGACCTCACTGGCCAAGCTGCCCAACGAGATGCTCTTCGTCGGCTTTGGGTACCTGCACAGCCTGTTGCAGCAGTGGGGGGAGGAGCTGCAGGCCATGCTCAACAGCAGCCAGAGGCTGAGTTACGGGAGCTATCGCCTGTGTGACAGCCTGACCTCTTTCAACCAGAACCTGGAGGGCTACCTGGACACCAGGGATCTCTCGAAGGAGGAGGGCCAGATGGTCTCGGAGCTGGCCGAGTGCGTGAAGAACTTCTTGAGGAAGACCACCCCAACTCTGAAGGGCAGGGGCTCAGAGGACATCACTGCCTCGATCGCCATGGCCATCATAGGGCAGAAGATGGACCGGCACATGGAGATGTGCTACATCTTTGCCTCTGAGAAGAAGTGGGCTTTCTCAGCCGAGTGGCTGGACTGCCTTGGGAGTAACAAAGCCCTTTTCCGGGAGCCAGGCTTAGTATTGAAGCTGCTGGAAACGGTCACGACAGTCGACACGTCAGGCCGAGAGGTCCCCGAAGCGCAGGCAGAAGAAGTCACCAACTTGATTCTGGACTGTTACTCCGAGCTCTCTCTGCTGGACAAAAACAAAGTGCTGTCGGGCGTCTTGAGCTCCTGGGGGTGGAAGGGCCTCTCGGAGAAGCTGGTCACTTACATGGAGGGTTTCCAGGAGGACCTGAACACAGCTTTCAACCAGATCACCCAGAGTGCCTCCGAGCAAGGCCTTGCCAAAGCCATCGGGTCCGTGGCCAGGCTGATCGTGCTGCACCCAGAGGCCACGGTGAAGAAGATGTGCAGCCTTGCCATGGTCAATCTTGGGGCTCACAGGTTCCTGGCTCAGATCCTGAGTGCCTTCCCTGCCCTCAGGTTCACTGAGGGAGAGCAGGACCCAAACTCAGCCACCTCTCTGCTGGTGGCGTGTCTCAAAGAAACCATCTGGGGGAAGCTTTCATCAGCCAAGGAGGAGAAGCAGTTTTTGGAGTTTCTTAGCTACCTAATGAATCCCCCAGAGCAAGAGAATAGCACCATCCCCTTGACCCCTCTTCTGGCGCCTGAGGAGGTAATTAAAGCGTTTGTCCTACCTTACTTGATGCTGCATGTGGAAGAGGTGGACCTTTGTCTCAAGATCTTCATTCAGGCTCTGGAAGCAAAGCCACGCTCCGATGGCTCCTCACTCCTTTCCTGTTCCCCGTTTCCCCTCCTCTTCACTCTGTGCCAGCTGCTAGACAGCTACACCAAGTATTGGCAGCACCCCAAGGCCAAGCGGCACCTCTCATTGGACTCTAAAGATTTGGTGATCGGCATTCTGGAGCAGCTCTGTGAGGCAGTGCTGCCCAAGGAAGAGAACCCCAGTCCAGAGAACTGGACTAAGTCCCTGTCCTGGCTCCACCGAAAGACGGAGCAGCTTGACTGGACGGTGGGCCTGCGGCTGCGGACTGTCTTTAAGGGTCATTTTAAGTGTGAAGTGCCAGCCACGCTCTTTGAGATCTGCAAGCTTTCCGAGGATGACTGGACCTCACAGAATCACCTGGCCTACGGGCCTGGCACGGGCCTTCTGGCCTGGATGGAGTGCTGCTGTATCTCTGTTGACACTTGTGAGCACATGCTCTCCCTCCTAGCTGTGGATACAGGCAACCCCGAGGAGGTCAGCTTCTTCAGCAAGGGCTTCCTCGTGGCCTTGGTGCAAGTCTTACCTTGGTGCAGCCCCAACGAGTGGAAATGCCTGCACCAGCTGACCAAGAGTCTTTTGCAAAAACAACTGTTGCACGTCCCGTACAGTCTCGAGTATGTTCAGTTTGTTCCACTGCTCAACCTGAAACCCTTTGCCCAAGAGCTGCAGCTCTCTGTGCTCTTCTTGAGAGGTTTCCAGTTCCTTTGCAGCCCCAGCTGTTCCAACTGGCTTCCTGCCGAAGGCTGGAGCCACGTGGTCAAGCTCATTTGCAGCAGCCTGACCAGTCTGCTCGACTCCATCAAGGTCCAGTCTCTGTGCCCATGGGCGCAAGGACAGGAGGAAGACTTGACACAGGAAACCTTGTTTGTTTACACTCAGCTCTTCTGTCACATCCTCCACATCATGGCCATGCTTCCTGAGGAGGTCTGTGAGCCCCTCTATGTTCTAGCCCTGGAGATCCTCTCTTACTATGAAGTCCTGAGCAAAAGTGACACATCTGCAAATGCCCTGCTCCGGAAGGCAAATGAGCAGCACTTCCTCAAATCCATTGCCGAGAACGTCGGCCCGAGGGAGCAACGGAAAACCTTACTACAGAAGATCAACAGCTTTTGATGACCCACACCAGGAAATGTTGGTCTTCCGTGGAAGTGAGGCAGACTTGCAGCAGATGGGATGCACAGGCTTCCTTTCACAATCCTAGGAGATAGGAGAGGCAAGAGGCACCAAGGGTGCGGTGTGTAAAGAAGAAGAAAATACTTTCTTGGGCATTTGTAATAGTTACAATAAAATTTACCTTTTCTTTTGAACCTTTCCCATCCTTTTATAATTGGTCCCAAAGCACCACTCCTAGGCTCCAACACCCTCTGAAATCCTCCTCACTGGACTCATTGCAGCCTCAAGTCACGCTGCAGAGGATCCTCTTTGGCCATGACCAGACCTCTTGATCCATTGCCCAACAAGTGAGCAAATGGATTAGTCCACAGGTTACGAGGCGGGGAGGGATGGGAGAAGTTGTTTTAAGTGTAACATGAGTGCTGATGGCATCAAGGAGGATGCTCTTTGTTGTGTAGGGCAGCAGCAATAAAAGTTAACTCTTACCAGGCTTGTTCTTTGGAAATCCAGAGTTTGGCTGTCATTGTGGCCAGAGCTTGATTGCTGATTTCCTCACTGAGATCAGACTGAAGGGAAATGGGACAGCTGGGACCCTCCACCCACCAGTGCCCACCACGACCACATTGGGAGCTGGCCTAGGCTGCAGGATATCCCTCTTAGACTGAGGCAAGATAATCCTGAAGATACTCAGGTATGTTCTGAGATAAAAGAGAAGCAGAGACAGTCGAATGTTTTAAAAAGAAATTTTTATTGATGTCTTTCATAATGAGAGTAAGTAGGAAAAACATGAATGCGATTTAATCTCCATGAGGGAATTTTTTCTTTCAGATAAATTATCAGTAAACAAAACATCAAGACAAGCCTAAAACTTGTATAGCGTTTTATAGGTTCAGAAAAACAGCACCCATTAGACTGAGACAGACAGCAAGAGTCTGAAACAAGTCATTACTGTTAAATAAACTGCCACTTTTAAAAGACAATGGAATCACAACTGATGGGAAGATAACCTTATTTTTTAAAAAAGTCCCAATACTTTGCCACGGCATAATTCCTAAAACATCCTGTTTTTATGAGGAATGTTTAGAGTTGGTACCTGGGTTTCCTATTGAAAGGTAGCTGGTGACAAGGGGGGTTGACCATGTGGAGAGGAGGACCCAGCGATCATTTGGGCCTGGGTATTTGTGTTAAGACTCCTTTCTAGGGTAGCTGTCAAGGACACATGGTTTCTGGTCAGAACGCTCGGTTATAAGGAAAATAGGAAAAACATTTAGTAGTCCAGACATGAATTTTTTCTAAGCCCACTGGAATCTCATCTTGAGAACAATGTGAGCCGTAGTTTGGGGAGCTGTTAAGATCCTGTGTTTTACTAGAAGTCAGGCAGTCCTGTGCATATGGACAGAGAACAGACTGGATGCAAGGGAGAAGTACGAGGAGAGTGGGGTTTACCATTTAATGGTCCTAATTTCCCTAACTTGACTTGCAAACTTGAAACAGACACAGCTGGTGTCCTGTAAAAATCGTGGGCTCCTTGGTACTATTCTCTCTCCATCCCAGCCCAGGGGATGGTGGATGTGAGTGGTAAAACGTTGGCACCAGGGGAAGAGTGAAGGGAAATAGGGGTACTTGAAACTTGGGATGTCAGCTTAGGAAAGGAAAAAAAAAACTGCTGCCCCAGTTCTTCTGGCCCCTTATTCTCAGAATGTACACAGGTAATCAGCAAAATGTTGCTTTGGTCCTGCTGGTCCAGCATCGGCTGTTCCGTGATCAAAGGAGGTGAGCAAAAGGATGTGTAAAAACCAGACTACAGTCAGTGTGCAAATAGCCTAGCAGAGGCTACCTTGTCACCAGATCTATATGTCTTGTCTCCCCCAAACTTCTGTGGTACCTGCTGCACAGCTTTTTGAGATCAGACCCCAGCAGTGTCCTCAGAGCTAACAGAAACCATCTGGTGATTGGCAGCCATATGCCAGATTCCTCAGCTACTCATATACCACAACCTAATACCCTAGTTGTTATCCATGAGAATGTACTTCTGTTAAAAAGGCAGCATAGGGAGGAAATGTGATTGTTCCTTATAAAACCCAACCCCTCCACCTCGCTATTACCTCCCAGAAAAGAGAGGCCTTCCAGGGCCCATATAGTTCCATGGAATGTGGAGGAGGCAGGTAGTGTGGGAAGATACCCTTTCTTCTGCATCTCCTGGGTCATGGGCTCCACTAACTGTCCCTTTTGGCCTGAGAAATGTCAAACATCTGGGCTGCCTTCCTGCAGAGCAGAGCAAACCAGTACAGCTGGGGCAAGATGAGGAGGGCATTGATGACGTTGCAAAGAAAGGGTATGTGGAATGGTGTCTGCAGCAAGCTTAGCTCCTTCTGTTGGCCATAGGACCAGTACATGAAGGGGAAGACGAGGATGCGGAAGAGAAAGAAGGTCCCCAGTGTCAGGACTCCGTTCAACTTGTACGCAAACGTGCGCTGCTTCTTCCACTGCAGAAGGAGAGGGAGTGGAAAGAAAAAAGGTTCACCAGGCGGCTAGAGCTGGTCGAGTTACCCCTTTGCCTTTTCTGCTTGGGTTCAATGGCAAAAAAGGTCATTGGGGGAGCCCTTGGATACCAAAGGGCTACTGGGAACGCCTGTATTCTGGAGATCCTTTGGACTCAACCAAAGGTGGCAGTCATTACTTGGATTGAATTGAATGTGTGTGTATCGTATATACATAGAACATACACATATGTGCTTATAGACACATTTTATACACATACACATATACATATACTGGGGGGGGGAGTCCTCAAAGTTTTAGTGCAGTTTTAAGCTATTAAGACTTAAAACTGCACTAAGACTTTGGGGTCCCCTATATATACATATACACACACATCTATATACTCTAGCACTTCAATGGGGTGTGTGTATATATATACACATACTACATGTAGTACATATAAAATATAAAATATAGTCCCTCCTTAAGATATAGTCTACATGTAGAGTATGCCTACATATATGTGCATATGTGTTTATATACATATGTGTATGTGTGTGTGTATATGTGTATATATAAATGCTGTCATTAGGGTCCAAGTATTTGACAGGTTATCACATGGAAGAGGGGTCAGGCTTATTCTGCCCCAGAAGACAATTAGCCCAAGGGGAGGAGATACAGAGACAACTTTATGCCAGATATAAAAGGGGAGGAATCCTAACCATGAGAACTGTCCCAAACTGGACGAGTCTTCTCTGAAGGGCTGGGTGCCCCCTCCCTGGGGGCCTTCAAGCAAAAGCTCAATTCTTTATTGGGTTTGTTGTAGAAGGGATCGTAGAGCTCATGGGTAAGTAGACCCAGTGGGCTCTGAGGTTCCTCTCACCACTAAGATTCTGTGATCCAGTAGGAAGATCTGCTGACCAGAGTTGGGGACACACTTTAAGTTCTAGTGATGGGAATGACCCCCATGGAAATGCTCCTACAGGGAGCCCTAGGACAATGGGTCACCTGGTATGCCCTCCACCAGGACTCGGAACATAAGGCCATCCAGTGGATCTCCTGCCTCACTACTATACCCAAGGGCTTTCTTTGTGACTACAATTTATTGACAAAACAAGGTCCCTTTTTATAACTCTGTTATCCATTAAGTTACAGGATGATCTAGAGCAAACCACTTTCCTTCTCTGGGCCTCAGTTTCCTTATCTGTGGAACGAAAGGGTTGGGCTAGATGCTCTCATCAGTTCCCTTCCAGCTCTGACACGGATTCTTTACATACCAGGATCAGAATTTTGCCGAATGACACAAATGGAGTGCTGAATTCTGCTGTGAAGATACAGCCTACAAAGAAGTCGCCACGTTCTCCCCTTATTACCTGCAAGTGAGAAGACATCAGGACTTGAGCATCATGTGCCTTTGGAGATGAAACATGGCCGCAGAGTGCCAGGCAGGGTGTGTGAGCCAACCCAGCCAAGATGGCGAACCTTGGCCACAAAGAACAAATCAAAGGCTGAACATGGAAGTGGAGGCAAACAGTGCCTGAGCAGCTGCCATCCCTGGGAAATGATCTACACAGCCAGAGGACCACCATCTTTGCCAGGCAGGGGATCTAGGAACCCACTCACATGCCCACCATATGAGTTCATGGGAATCCAGTTCTAGCCAAACAAAAAACGGGTTTGCTCCTTGTTCTCCTGAAGGCTTCACCTTCATGGTAACAAAATATTAGGTCAATTCCATGAAAAGAAAGCAGCTACTTAGCATTATAAAGACACAACACTCAATCAGTTGACGTTTTCACTTTTTAAAATGATTATTGCATTATATATACAGAGAGCACAGGCTGCCTAGTGCTGTGGGAGATGAGGGCAGGAGTGGAGAGGCACAATTTGTGGATGGGGCCAATGTTAATTTTTCAAGTTTACTCAAACCTGACTGATGCTTTGTCGTGGCATGGAGATGATCCAGAGTTCTTGAAAGCCCTATTAGTGGAGCATATGCTAGTGGACACTGGTAGGTCTTACCTTGATGATGGATGCCTGCATCAAATGATGCGCCTGCTGGCTGAGGACAAACCTTGCTTAACAGTGAGAAGGTTGGCCAACGGGCGAATTCTTGAGCTATGATAACTCATGAAATGGACCCCAAAAACTCAAATTAAGGTTCTAGGCATACCATTGACATGGCTGGCATAAGGGGCTGGGCAGCCCCACTGGAGCCAGCCAAGTAAGGGAACAAATGAAACTGGAAAGGGAAAGGACATTGAGGCGCAGCTATGGTTCCATAGGCATGGATAATGTCCCCCACTCTTCTGGAACACAAGTTGCCTCTGCAATGATGGTGACACCATCCTGTGAACACTCACCTGTGTAATGGGTACAAGAACGATCAGAATGAAAATATGGTGCATGAGCATGAGGCGATCGTGCTTGAGGAAGTTCCTAAAGATGGCGAGAGAGTGTTTCTTATCCTCGCCTCTGTTTCGGTACCAGTAGCAAATGTACATAGCGCCTAGGTCGTAGGTCATGTATGGAATCAAAACCCATATATATTCGCGAGCAAGCCAGTGCCTAGAGGGAAGCACATGAACATTCTAAAAGCGGATTCTGTGAGCCTGGAACCCAAGGATCTGCCCACTCGTAACAGTGTGGCGTGATGCCGACCCACTTGCTACTTATATAGCGGTTATCGCTCCAAATGCTTGCCAGGAAAGAACTCTGAGTAAACAGTGAAGTGAAAATGCACAAGGAAGTTTTTGGACATCAGGCAACTCAGTGAAGGAGCCAAACATAGAAGCCAGAAATCTCAACATCAGTTGCTGCTTTTAAACAGGGCTGTCAGACGTTTCCCTTTCGTCTAGTTTAGCTGGTCCCTTGTAATGGACTTAACTGGCCTTCTGTGGTATGTCCAAGTTACCCACCCCTCAAAGTTGCCAACAGGCCCTTCTAAGAAACTGATGTGGGAATTAGATAGAAGTTCCTATTTCCACTTTAAGTCCAGCGGTGCTAACATGCCATTACTCAGTAGGCTGGAGTCTGAAAATCCCAAGCCTACATTTACACATCTCACAGTTCTCTCTCTCTCTCAAACATACCCACTGAGGTCCCACTAGAACACAGAACCCCAGCCCTGGGTGTGGCTATAACCTGTTGGGTGGCTTCTGTGGCAATTTTCCCTGTCATTCCAGCTCTGGTGCCACCTGTATATAACCAGTGTAAAATAACCAAGTTATGGCTGGTTATCCCAGAGGAGAGGGGCTGGTGTGAAAGATAAATGCCTGTGATGAGCTGCTTGTCACTCCCCTGAACGTCATAGATAGTGTAAGTCTTTCCCAAAGGGTCCTCTATTAATGCCCTAGGACAAAGTGGAATCAGGAGTGCCCACAGATGGCAGCTCCAGTGCCAGTTAGTGACTAACCATATATAAAAATTGTATATAATAATAAAAATCCAGTTTCTGTACCCTAGGAGAGATGGCAGCCATTTGGTGCAACTTTCCTATTGAGATGGTACCCAGACTTCCTGTTCCTTAATTGCACTATGAATAAACAATGGGAACTGCTATCTAGCCTGTAGTGAATGAAGTAGCTATAATGTGAATCAATTACCTGGACTTTGCTCATGCATTGATGGAGGAGGTGTGGTTGTTAGGGAGGTGGCTCTCTCGAGCCTGGTGGTTTGGGTGAAACAATTCCACAATTAGAATAACTACCCCCTTTGAAAATACAAGAAAGCTCCTGAAAGCCTAGTAAAAGCAAGAGGGGTCTGGCCTTTAAGGGGATGCCCTGGTAACACCATTATTTACCATAATGCAGAATTCCAGCTCTAGGGCAAAAGTCTTTAGAGATAACGAGTGACTTAACAAGACACAGGGTTTCTGGTCCTGGCACCCTTACTAATCAGCTCTGTGCATTTGGGCAAAGCCTTTCACTGCTCTGTGTCTTAGTCGCATTGAGAAAATGGCAACAATCCACCCTACTGAATTCACAAGGTTTTGGAGGTTCTAGTGAGCAAAAAATTTGAAAGAGACTAACTTATATGCAAGATTCAGCAGGGGGAGAGAAGTGCCCTCCAGTACTGCACTCATTAAAGAAAAATCAAAACAAAGAAGACAAAATGAAGTCTATGGTGGTGAAATGTTGGGGTATTTGTTGAAGATCTTTCAGGAGATTCAGGGGCTCTTACAGCATCCCTACATCATCAGTGTCAGATGATTGGATTTAGAGGTAGACATACTTTACCTGGAGTCTGTGAACTTGGATTGGGGAAAAAATGGCATCTTTATTTTCCCTAACCTCCAACTGAAATGGAGCAATTCTTCCATTATTTAAAATGGTCTGAGAAGGGGTCTGTGCCATTAAAAAGATTGTTAAGCTCTGATCTGGTCCAGCACTTCTTTAAACTGTGGTCTGAACCCCAGGATGAAGGAGTCTAGAGTGGAAAAAGTTTAAGGAGCCCTGATGTGTTCAATCCTCATTTTGCAGATGAGGAAACTGACCCACCAAGGTTTAACTGACTTTTCTAAGGTCACACAGTAAGAGAGCCAGGATCCATTTGAAGGCATGTTTACAGGCTTTTAAGCAAAGGCTGGGTGACCGCTCCTTGAGCATGTTAATAGTGGGGAGATTTGGCCTTAATGTCCTCTCAGGTCCTCTAGCCCTTCAATTCTGTGTTTCCACTACCCCATGTTGCCTGCTGCCTACATAAAAGGGTAAGCTTTTACAAATAGAAGGACGAAGGCATAAACCTGATATTTTTTCCTCCACAGAGATGAAGCCAAACTTGAAGCGTCTAAACTTGTGGCCTCCTGCTTTCTTTCTCTATGTCATGGTTCTATTAAGATCTTCCATCCCGGGTGGCTTGAAAATGAAGAGATCCAGATTCTCTAAAAAATTCAGACAATTTCAGCCAAAGAACTTAGTATGGGTTCTTTACCTGAGCCCATGAAATTTCTTTAAAAATTAAAAAAAAGGTAAAAATATTTAGTTATCTTTCAATCTAATTGGTTTCCTTCATAATTCTATATGTTTTATTTAATGCCTTTGATAAAGACTTCAGCACAAGATAGTGTGAAGGGAGTCATTGACAGCTGACAGAGTCCATTACACAAAAGGGTTAAGAAGCCATATCTTAAAGCAGTATGAAATTTTAGGTATTATTACCACTAAGAATCCCTATGACCAAGTAAAGTCCAGAATTTCTCCCCCATTCCCTTTGCCTCAAAAGGCTGATGTGGAAATGTTCTTATTTCAAATAGTTTACAGGAATTTGTAGCTTGCCCTTTTCCCTGTTTTTTTTCCCCACAAGCTGCACATCATGGCTTTAATTGCAGAAATTGATCATGTGTTTCTGCAATATGTAGCCTCCACTTAAGCCTTGGAACCAATATGGAGAGCAACTTAGGGTCACGGCAGCTCCTTCAGTCTATTTCAGTCCCTTTGGTTGGAAAGGGAGGCTTCAGAATCACCAGGACAAGATGAAAGCAGTTGGAGGACATTTTCCTTGGTGGTTCAGAGCTCTAGAGAGTCAGTAAATGACAATCTGAGGGACGGCAAGAATTTCAATGGCTACCTAGACCAGAAATCCTTCCTACCACATTCCCAACTGGTGCCAATCCAGCCTCCAACTGAAGACTCCAGCGACAGAAGATCCATGACCTTTCTGAGGCAGTCGGTCCCACTCTTGGACAGCCCCAGTTCTGAGGAAGTTTCTCCTCACATCTAGCCTAGACCTTCCTCACATGTAACCTCTGCTCCCATTCTCCCTATTGCTTCCTGTTACATCTAATCTCTCTTCCATCTAAAAGTCCTTCAGCTACTTAGAGGGCTTTCATGTCCCTCTATATCAGGGGCCCATGAACTTTTAAGTATTTTGATAACTATTTCAATATAACTGGTTTTCTTTGTTGTTGAGTTACGTCAGGCCCTTTGGGTTTTCTTGGCAGAGATCCTGGAGCAGTCTGGCATTTCCTTCTCCAGCTCATTTGACAGGTGAGGAAACTGAGGCCAATCAACAGGGTTGAGTGACTTGCCCAGGGTCACATAGCTAGTAAGTGTCCGAGGCAGGATTTGAACTCAGAGCTTGCTGACTCTAGGCCTGGTGCTATATTCACTGTACCACCTAGCTGCCTCCAGAACTAAAGACACTACTTACTTCCCAGATGTGGCCTGCCTAAGGGCACATAACTCAACTCCTTCTTTCTAGGCTGTACCTTCAAATCCAGCTTTCGTACAAACCGCTATTTAGCCACAGTCCCCCCATCCTGTATTTTTGGAACCCAAGGATATATCCCATTATGTTTATCTTTATTAGTAATAAATACTTAAGTTTACAAAGAGAGGAAACTCAACCCAGCCCAGAACTCCTGTGTATGAGAATCACAGCCTCATTTCTCTTACAATACACAGCCTATAGTAACATCACCTAGTTGCTTCTGAAGAGGTGATGGGAATCAAAGCATAAAACCCGAGGCCGTAAGAGGAATTCATCCTGAACGGCATGGATTCAAGCCTACAACAGATTGGCTCTGTGACTTTGGACCCTTTACCTTTCTGGGCCTCCTTTCCTTTGCAAAATGAAGGAGTCGAGAGATGACGGAGGGGTAATTACGTCACTGTAGGGAACTTCCTAAAACTCCCTGCACCAGTGCAGGTCAGCGCTTCATTTGTGATTACAATCTTTGTTGTCTGGGGCGCTGAGAGAGTAGGCCACAAATTTGTCCATTGTCACTCTAGTATTTGGCAGTCAGACCTTGATTCCTCTGCCTCTATCAGCCACTGTGTGGCAAAAATTACAACTCATTTTCTGTAACATTTTAAGGGTTTGCAAAGTGTTTTCCTTTCAACAAAACCACGAGGTGTGTCATGGAAGCATTCTCTGATCTTCAAATAGAGAAACAGATTCTGTGACTCATCCAAGGTCAAACAGCTAGTGTTAGAAAGCTAGTCTTTGAACATATATAGGTGTCATCTGATTCCAAGGTCAATTGTCTCTCCTGGACTTTCAGAAGACCTAGGTTCAAATCCAGACTATGGAACTTAAGACCTATATAATGACTTTGGGCAATCATCAAGACCTCAGTTTCCTCATCTGTAAAAGAGAATGAAATTCCTTTCCAGCTTTAACATACCTTTAAGTTCATTCTGCCCTTGTTAAAATCCATATGGAGATATGCTAGTCTCTATGGTAAAGCAAGTTCATCTTACAGAGCCCATTTCCAAATGAATGAGACCCGTGAAAAGCAATACCAGTGAAAGGCTTCCAAGATCAGTTTCCCACCACCATGGAATCTAGTCCAAAAGAATAAGAACTTGGGGCTGGGAAAAGTGATGCAGGAAGTGGAATGGGGGCAGCTAGGTGGTGCAGTGGATACAGCACCAGCCCTGAAGTCAGAAGGACCTGAATTCAAATCTGGCCTCAGACCAAACACTTGACACTTACTAGCTGTGTGACCCTGGGCAAGTCACTTAACCCCAATTGCCTAAAAAAAAAAAAAAAAAAGTGGAATGAAATATCCCAAAATGCCCTATTCAGCGGAGTCTCTGAAAACTCACAGCCACAGGTCACTCAAACCTAGACCTTCTAGTGGCTGTTTAAAACATGTTTTGAAGAATGAAGCACTATACTCCTGTGTATTGTGGACAGATGAGGACTTCTCCCACTTCCTGCCTCGTTTGGGATATGTCATACATGAGATGGTTCTCTGAAAAGGAGCCCAGGATGATCAAGAATCCAAGCTTTGCCAGGGATGAGAAGGTCTAGAGAAAAGGGCAGGGCAGCCGGTGTTGGGGAAGGTTATTTTTAATCTGAAAGATGTACCACATTGGCACTGCCAAGTGGCTGACTGAAGAAGAGGAGGCATTTAGAAGAATGAGGAGCCCCAATTCTCTATCCTAAAACATGTTTTCTAGAATCTTTGGTCTGAAGAAACGATAAATTTCTGCTCTCAGGAGAAAGATGGGGACTACAGATGTGGAATGCAATATATACCGTTAAGTACTGTCATATTATCTGCCAAATAACTATGTCTAAATGTTTTCTTTTGTTATAAAGTTCCTATTCCACACCTGTAGCACCCCCACCACCATGCAAAAGGAAGGACATATCACTTTGCTTTCTAAAAGCACCAAGTGTATCCCGTATACTGACCTATTTATTTATATCACAGCCCTGAAATTCTGCATTATTTCCCACGTGCAACTGGGGAAACCTCAGCTACATTTTTTTTTTTTTTTTGGCCTGGGATCACACTATCTCATGTTGGAGCCTGAGACTAAAATCTTCATTCTCATCTTTTTATTAGACCACATTTCTTTCAAAGACTGCCCCATTATGAGGCATTATCAATACCACCTAGGGCAGCTGGGTGAAGCGAATAGAGCATCCAGCCTGGAATCCCGAAGACCGGAGTTCAACTTCGACCTCAGACGCTAGCTGTGTGACCCTGGACAAGTCACTTAACCCTGTTGCCCTCGGTTACCTCATCTGTAAAATGAGCTGGAGAAGGAAATGGCAAACCACTCCAGGATCTCTGCCAAAGAAAACCTCCAAAAAAGGGGTCATAAAGAGTCGAACACCACTGAAAACAACTAAACAACATCAATACTCCCTGGTGTGTTCCCTGGAATTTCCTCACATCGTTCTTGAAGGTGGGAAAGGGAACTGGGTGAAAGGGAGGAGACGAGAAAGCCCTTCCTTAACTCCCATAATCAGTAGCCTAATGGTGGTACTGATAAAGGGGTGCCTGGAAGCCACTAATAAGCAGTCCCCACCCCAAAAGATCCCCTGCCGGGATGTTTACTCCTCTCCCACTGACATTAGCACTTACCTGCAGTTAACTACATCATTGCAGGACCAAAGGATGATGAGCCCAGAGACAGAAGCCAGGACAGCCTGGATTGAAGAAACTATCCTAACAGTAAAAGGGGAAAAAAGAGAGAGAGAGAGAGATGCTTCATCACCAATCCTGGGGAACTGCGAAGAGACGCTGATCTACTTCGGACTCCCCAACCCCTAAGGACGTCCCCACTCCCCGAAGAGCCACGGGCTAAACCTGCGGCATCAGTTCCTAAGAGACAGCAATCCCCGAGTCAATCCATTTTGGCCCCAAAGATTTGAGCAGTCCCCTGCCCTGCGCTATCCCCGCTGTCCCGGTGAGGGTCCGCGGAAAGGGTCGGCAGGCAGGAGGGAAGGAGAGCGAGAGGCAGACAGCTCACTTCGGCTTCCTGCCGGCCGCGCCACCCCCACCCCCCTCCCCCCGCCCCGCCTAGCACAGCATGGCGCGGACAGCTTGGGGTCCCTGGACCCCGCGCGTAATGGCCAGCGCCACCAAGAGCAGCAGCTGCTGCAGCATCTGGAGAGGCTGTCGCCGCGTACCTATTGCTGAACGTCAAGCAGTCGATGACCTTCCATTGGGGAAGCGCCTGGTGCAGCCCCCAGGCGCAGAGCACGAAGAAGCCGGGGAAGAAGATAGAGCCGCAAACCAGCGTCAGCAGCATTGGCGCAGTGGGTCCCCGGCCGGCCGCTCTGCGCTCTGGCCCTGTCGGTTCGGCTCAGCTCGGCTGGCTCAGCCCCGCTCCGGAGCCCAGCCCGGCCAGGCCCGGCGCGGTCCGCCCCGCCCCGCCCCGTCCCGTCCCGTCCCGTCCAGCCTGCCGCGCTCCTCCCACCGCCCACCTTCCTCCACCCCCCAGCTCCCTCTGCCCCGCGCCCCCGGAGCCCGTGGCCCCGCGTGACCAGAGCCCGCGGCCGGGATAGGAGCGCGGCCGCCTTCCCGCACTGGGCGGGCTCTGGCCGCCGGGCGCCCCGCTCCCGCTCGCCTAGCCGCGGCCGGAGGGGGAGCGGCGGGGCCCGGAGCCCGGGACGTGGCCGGCCACGGCCCGCAACACGCTACCCCGGCTACTGCTGCTGCACCCCACCCGCGCGCCTGGCCTAGCCCTGGCCAAAGACAG